TATTTTATTTTATTTTATTTTCCAGAGTTGTTGTTTCTTTACAGAAAATAAAACAACAACATATCTGTTTAATGTAAACAATAAAAATGATGTAACAGAAGCAGGGTCAGATTGAAAACATCACGTGTGGCTTTTGAGTCGTGGACCAGTGGACCAGATCTTGTTCCCTGCAGAGCAGGGATCAGCAGGACTTCACAGTCTGGTCCACATATGCTGTGAGGGTCTGAAGCTTTAAGCTGAGAAAACTGGAACTTTGAGTGTTTATAATCAGCGAGTTGTTCTACCACATTCTAAAAAAATCACCACTCAGTTGATTTGATTTGATTTATTGATTCAACAGGAAAAGATCATTAAAAATCAAGCCTGACTCAGCATAATTGCTGTTTTACAGCAGGTTCCTGTTCTGCAGCACATAAAACACTCAGAATTACAGCTAATATGCTAAAAGTAACAAAATGGTAGCTGAAGTTAGCTAAAAGCTAAAAGAAGCAAATTAGACGCTAAAAGTGAAGAAGATAAGAGAAGCAAAATGTAGCAAAAAAACCTACCCTACAGTATAAAAGGCTAGTTTAAAGCAACATATTACAGCTAAAACCTGTAGTATGTTGGGTACAATACTGAAATGTTAGATAAATGTAGGATAATAGAAACTAAAAATGGTAGAAATGGTAAAGCTGAAAGATAGGAAGTACTACATAAAAGCAACAAACACTAGCTAAAGGCTAAATGCTACCTAACATTAGCATGTTACAAGCGAAAAGTAGCAAACATGTTAGGTAAAATTACCAAAATGAAAGCTGAAAGTAACATATAGATGCTAAGAAAATGGTAGCTAATGTTAGAGGTTACAAAAAGCTAGCAAAAATAAAAGTAGCAAATTAATAGGTAAAAGATCAAAGTAACAAAACAATAGCTACAAGTGTAAAAGTAGCAAAGCGTTAACTAACGTTACCAAAAATACTAGCCAAAATCTGCAATATGCTAGGTACCATAATGCTAGCTAAAGTAGCATAATATAAGCTACACTGCTGTAACAAAATTGTAGCAAAAATCAAAGGTAACAAAAACCTAGCTAAAAATAAAAGTAGCATATTAATAGCTAAGACAAAAGTATCAAAACATTAGCTAAAGGCAAATGAACTGAAACAATGTCCATATTTCTTTAGGATAAATTTTTTTAACTTTTGTATTTGATTAGTAGGAGTAACAATAACACAAAGATGTTTTATATTTAAGGGGCAAGATTTTCACTTCATACTCTTGGGAGAAGTGGAAAGAGAACTTGATGGCATCTCAATTTCAGTTTCAATATTTTACAACTCATCAGTTTGTTGTTTACAACAGAGGCATTCCTGTTTCCTGTTTGTGAAAGTTCAGGTATTTTACTTAATGAAAACATTAGATAAATATATTGTTGCAAGTAAAAAGAAAAAGTGTTGCAAGTAAAATCTAATTTATAATTACCCTTTAAAAGCAAATATAGCAATAGTAGCACTGGTCTGCTAAAATAAAATATTTTGTAAATAATAAAAGTACTTACTTTAGTTGTACTGTACTGTGTGTATTTTTTTTTTTTTTTTGCGCAATCTCAAGCAATGTAAAGTAAAATGTCACACAAATTAATTGGATGTCGAATAAAATATTTGGAGGCTGGTACCAGAGTTTACGCATGCGCATTAGTGACTGTTAAAAAGGCCAGACAGCCAAACTAATCGCACCAAACGTCAATGGTAATTGTCGCTAGCAAATGCTAGCGTTAAATAGGTAGGGTTTTTGTTACTTTAAGCTCAACCAAATAGTAATATTAATTGTTAAGCTTTCAGTAGATGTAGAAACACGTGTGCATGAAAATGGTGCTACGAACAGGTAGCCTTAACCAGCTATGCTAATGTTGCTAGCATCAAACAGCAATGCTAACCGTTGCTAACAGCTAGCTATCAACATCAAATTGTAATGCTAATTCGTTATTTTTAAGCCCATTTATTAGTCTTTACATCAACTAATTTTGACAAAAGCAACTCAGAAATGCTAGTTTATTAAACTTTTTAACTAAATGTTTTTTAGAAGAGCCAGTCTTTGATTATGTTGGTGTATTCTACTAGCAGAACCCCGTTTCTGCAGTGCAGGATGTCGGGCTGGTTTCAATGCCAACTCATTTACATATGAATGGAATTCCATTTGAGTTCGAAGGGGGTTAAAAAAAAGAGGTGTCGTTTCTTTAAAGCAGCTGAATCAAGATTTCAGCAAAAGTTTCTGTAGGTAGGAACCACCAGATTACCTTCTGATTGTTGTTGTTGCTTGATGCAAAAAGTTTGGAGGAAGGGATTTTGCCAAATAAAAGCGCGGTTGTAGGTCCGGAACAGGTTACAAACAGGTTGTGTGAGCTGCCGGCTGCAGAGAGGAAGGGGTTAAAATCTGAAAAGGTGTGAGAGCCACTCCCAAACAAACCTGCCTGCCGTCCTCCAGAACCGCACTGTTGATCCAACTCAGCCGCCGGGAGGAACCAGGAATCCCGGATACTTTAACCCCAGTCTGAACCTTTTCTCCTTTTTGGATGTAATTTGCTGAGCTCTTGTTTTCGGGTAAGTTTCACCTCAGCTGCTCTTTTTGTTTTTTTGCACCTGTTGCATGTGTAGCTCGTGAATCAGGTTTTCCATTCAAAATGTCTGAGCTGTTTAAAATAGTGTGTGCAGCCTCTCCCAGCAGTGTTTGTGCACACATGAACGCTGTAATTACACCAGCACGGTTTGTTGACTCAAAAGGGAGGCTTGCAGTACTTAAACCCAAATCTGAGCTGATGAAATATTCCTAAATACGCATAAATACACATGTATATCCTCTCCTCTGTGGAGACTTGAATGAAGCTCAGCATTTCTTTAAATGTGCCAGGACCCCTCAGAGTGCATTAATTCTCTCTCACACACACACACACACACCCCTACAATAGAGTGCCTTCTCCATGGTGATGTGAGAGTCTGGCCTGACTCCCAACAAGCAAAGCTCCTTTTTGGAGATCTGCACTTGGCCTGAGTGTGTGCAGATGTAACGTACAGGGCTTCGCAATTAGCCCAAAATGTACTTTATATGGAGGGAGTGTGTTTTGAAAGCTTGGCAAGTGCAAAAGGAAGCTTGTTCTCCTTGTATTGTTTTGAGCTTTTACATTATATTACAGATTTTATAAGACTCTTTATGGCTTTGTGGGGTCCAAACTTACTAGAAAAACCTCATATATCCGTGATGATGACTATGGACAACATGTCAACAGCTTCTTATCTCCTAATGTTTCACTAACTTGTAAGTTTAGGGTCCAATGTTCCATTGATTTTTGGCAGCTGGAAGTTTTTTTTTTTTTCTTTTTACTTCCTGAACTCGCTTGATCTTTCAGAAACAAATTGTGGGAACCCGTTTCTTGGAAAGAACATCGTCTACAATAGGAAAAACTAAAATATGTGCTGCTCTTTAAAACAGCCAAAGTCAAATGCCAGAGAAACTGCACCGACAGGTAGTGTGAGTGTCTAGTTAGACGTCTCTCTGATGAACCCACGACAGTCAAGTATTTAGAAACACGTAGTTTCCTGGCACAGGAAGACTTTTGCATACATTCTGTATTTAGCAGATGACAAACACTTTACCATTTTTTTAGCTGATGTTGAAACAACAATCATAGTAGATCCACGTAAACATTTCCCCAAAATGCATCAGAACAAAATTTAACAGTGTTCTGATGGTACATGGTTATTCATCCAGTCTTCATTTGGCCATAAAGGTATTTATTAGTCCAGTAAAGTTCATGTTTAGTCATCACAGGTGGCTCAGATTAGCCCGAGGGCCACACAGGTGGAGTTATTCTGGTCGCAACTCTTTGGCGTCTGCGTTCCAAAGAAAAAACATGCAGCGAACGCCGGGACAAAGTCATGTTCATGATGTAGTCACAACAAACGGACGAGGCTTCTTATCATCATTGTCGTCCAGCAATTTAAATAAAATTCACCTTCCAAATCCTCCATTTGCCTTAGTTTCAAGCTAAAGTTCTGAAGCTGGAAGAGCTCGAGTATTTGGGCTTCTTGTTCCCGAGCGATGGAGCGGGAGGTGGATCGACAGATCGAGGTCTCGTTCTTAGTCATGAGGACGTTGCTCCGGTCGGTCGTGGGGAAGAAAATGTTGAGTCCATAGAGGCAATGGTTTTGATTTTCTGGGTCGTCTACGTTCTAACTTGTGATTGTAAATGAAAGAACGTGATCCGCCATTGTTCAACACATGCTGTTGTTTGTGTTGTATACAAAAATCCGTCGTCATCACGTGGCATTAAGCAGCTGAAATTATCTTTTTTTCGTAGGGTGGCTGGGRTCAGCTTTAGGGAAAAATATCCAAAAAAAAACTTGACACATAAGAGTAAAACCTTTTTAATTTTTATGATCTTCAAAAGCACCCAAGACAACAACCAAACTAAAATGATGAGTAATTATCTTATTTTTCCTACATATCTCATTAAGTCAGCTCTAACACAAAGGCTTGGTGTTTGAGTCGTGTTGCATAAATAATGTGCTCAGGAATAGCTCTTAAGTTGTAATTATAGCAATCCAACTGTAAACACAAAGACAGTCAGAATTTTTTCTCCCTTGCTGTAATTATTAGCAGGTT